CTGACAGTTGTCCTAATATAATAACAAGCCCTATAGGAGCCGCGTCAAGAATGAATGTTGGTCAGTTTTTAGAAGGATATGTAGGAAATATAGCGCATACGGACAATATAAGAATAAAATCTCCAATAAATATAGCTAATTCTGATTTATACTCTCACTTATATACAAAAAGTATTTCAAATAATTTTAATAATAAATTTACAATTAATAAATTTGACCAGCATTCTGTTGTAGTTTTTAGAGATTTTAAAACAGGGTATAAACTAAAAAATTTCACACACAAAGTTATTTTATATTTTTTTAAACTTGTTCATACTTCAAAAAGCAAATTTAGATATAGATTTACTGAATTACCTGTTATTTTACAGGAAGTGCATAACGATGCTAAAGAGCAAAAATTCGGTGAAATGGAAGTTTGGTCTTTAGAGTCTCATGGAGCGGCCTATAATCTTAGAGAGTTTTCTTTAATTAAAACTGATATTAAATTTATATGTTTCCCTAATATAGATTCTGATCTTGTATCTAAAACATTTTCGAATCTTATTAAAGAGCTTAATTCAATATTAATAAGTGTTAAATTTATGCACTGCACTACTTAAATTTAAAAAATGATTAATTATAAAAATATAAAACTATCTTTTTTAGATAACGAAGATATAGCACAAAAAATAAAAAGACAAGGAAAATTTACAGAAATAATAAGTTTAGTATATACTTCTGCTCCTTACCTTCATAAAAGAATAAGGTATAGATTTTCAAGCTTATTATGTGAGTATATATTTGGATATAGATTTGTATGCCGTGAGCCCAAGTGTAGAGTATTAGAATATAATGAAAATAGAATAAAAAATACAGCTTGTTATTATTGCGGCAATATAATGAGATTTAATAAATATAGAGAGAATAGATTTGGAGCTATATTTCTAAATTTTCCAATATGCAATCCTCTACGTTTACAAAAAATTTTAGATTGTTTTATTTTATTTAAAAATTTTAATATGTTTAAAAAAGATAATTTATATTATAGGACATATGAAGACGAGCATGATGATATAAAGTTTAAAGAACTTTATATGGGTAACTCTGACGCCATTTTTAATGTATTTTCAAGTTTTATAAATATTATTAATATTTTTTGTAGTTCTATAAATATTTTTAATAAAAATAAATATCGTAAAAAGGCTTGTATTAAAGTATTTTTAGAAAATCAAAATGTAATAAAAAATATAAAAGAAAATACTTTTATAAATTCTTTTTTAATTCTTATGCCGGTTTTACCTATAAATCTTAGAGAAAATATAGCCATCGTAAAAGGAAAGCCAGTAGGATCTAAGTTTAATTTTTTATATAGATTTATTATAGAGGTAAATAATAAGCTTTTAAAAACTGTATGCAGCTTTAACTATAAAGTTAAATATATAGGACTTTTATTTTTTTTAATAAAAATAATAGCTACTTATGCTCTTCTACTAGATATTTATCCTGACCCGTACAATATATATGAAAGACTACAAGGAAAATACGGTATATTTAGACAAAAATTACTAGGATTTAGGGTTGATTATTCTGGTAGAACTGTTATAGTTCCGGAGCCAGAATTGCCTATAAGTAAAGTAGGGATACCAGTAAATATGCTACAACAAATTTATAACCCCGAACCTTATGTAGACATAACAAAACTAACTAAGCATAAAGGAAGGTTTTTTAAAAAAATAAGAAAATATAAAAAGCCTACTGGAGAAATAAAATCTAATAGATATATGTCATTTTCAGAATCTTGTGGGTATGCTTGTAGCTTTATAGGCAGCATTATAGAAAATACAGTTATAGTAAACAGAGCACCAACGTTGCATAAAATGAACACACAATCTTTTAACCCTATATTTGTAGAAGGTAGGTCTATTAAATTTATGCCTATGTTATGTTCTGGGTATAATGCAGATTTTGACGGGGACCAAATGGGAGTATTTTCTATATTATTTAAATCTTCTATACTAGAATCTCAGTCAATGACTAGGTCTTTTTCAAATATGCGCTCACCAACAAATAAAAAAAATATGTTTAATACTACGCAAGGTATACTGTTAGGAAACTACGGGTTAACAATTTATAACTGCTTACCTGTATGTTCATATATTGTTATAAACAATTATACAACTTTAACAGAAATAGGGGCTATTAGCTCTTATACAAATATATTAGCCACACTACGTTATTTTAAATATTTTTATAAAACTAATATAGGAAGAAGCATATTAACTTTAAAAAATAGTTTAAACATATACAGCACAAAAAAATAACTATATACTATGATTATTAAACAAAATAAAAACTATAAAACACTATCTAATTTAAGCATTCGCTCATTAGAAAAACATCTTCAGAATGTTGTTAATGTTTGTTTTGATTATATATCTATTTTTACATTTAACTATAGTTTAAATATTTTTAAATTTATACCTTTTTATAATTCTAACACAAGTATAAACGGTGTATCTAATTTTACATATTTAATAAACTTATATTTTGAAAAAGATAATTTTATGTCAACATTATTTAGCTTTACAACATTAAAAGCAAAATTAACTTTAAACCAACTATTTCAAATACTGACAGTTAAAGGTGTGTCTTCTGTATCTGGTAAAGATATTCATTTATTAAGTAATCTTTATTATGGCCTAACTTTAAAAGATTTTATTTATTCATCTTTTTCTGCTAGAAATAGTATAATAGATAGTAGTTTAAATACTGCCGAATCAGGTTATTTAACAAGAAAACTAATAGAAGGGCTAAGAGACGTACACATTAAAAGTAATTTTTGTGGTACATTTTATGAATGTTTAGATAAAATAAAACGTACATATATTAATGTTCCTTTTTTATGCTTGAATAATAAATCTATATGTTTAAAATGCATATATATAGACTATAAAAGTATATTAATATCGGGATACAGCAAAGGTACTTTAAGTGCTCAAGCATTAGGAGAGCCTAGTACACAGATGCTTCTTAGGACTTTTCATTTAGGCGATAAAACTGCATTAAAAAATGTTTTAAAAACCTATATAAAATCAAAAAAATATATTAATGCGCTGTTTACAGACTATAATATAAACATACTACATTCATACTTATATAAAATTAATAGTTCTAAAATAATAAAATCTAAATTAAATTATATTTATCTATATAAAACTAATTTAATAGAACAGTGTTATATAACTTCTTTATTATTTAATTTTATAAACTGTACAAAAACTATACACAACTCATGGTGCACTATAAATGTACATAATATCTATTATAAATTTTTAAATAAAACAGTTACAAGCACACCACATATAAAATATTTTTTAGTATAAAAAAATGTACACATTTAACACAAATTATGCAATATTAGAAAAACATACAAATTTTAAAAGTAACACTGAACTTTATAAATCCATACAAACTCATAAAAACTTAAATAATACTTTTATGTATTATTTCCACAAATATAAAAATAAATTTAAATTATACAAAACTATAACAAAAGAAACTAATTTAAATAAAATAGATAAACTATTTGAAGGCAGACATACAGAAACAAACGAAAATATATGCTTTTATAAAAGTTTAACTATAATAAAAGGCATATATAAAGCTAATAACAACACTATAGCAGTAAGTGTAATACCATTAAGTATATCTAATATTAAACATATAGAGTATATAAACTCTATAGACCATAAAAAAAGTACTATAGCTTTTCCATTAAGTGTTAATGATATAATAAACGTCAATAATTATGTTTATTACATACACCAGTATGGGTTTATAAAAAATAACAACAGCTATAAATCATCATTTATATCGTTATTTTACTATTTTATTGGTCTATTTTTAGCTGTTTTATATTTATATCGCCACAATAATATAAAAATATTATATTCTAATTTAATAGTAATAGTATCAAAACTATCTAATTTTACTTCAATGAACAAAATGAATAAAACAAAATTAAAATACACTAAAATAGAAAATATAAAAATTATAAATATTATAAATAATTCTTTTAAACTACATAATAACGCGTACAGCATAGAGTACAAGCCTTATTTAGTAGGACTTACAAGATATACAATGTCTACTGCTGGGATATTAGCTAAATTAAGTTTTCAAGACACTTTAAAAACCTTACAAAGCATACTTATTAAAAATAAAGTAGATTGGTGTGTAGATACTAAATCTAATTTATTAGCATCAAACTTTATACCAGTAGGTTCTGGTTGGTATAGATACTTCATTAACTACAATTTAAATGTTTTTAACTTTTGATTCACTACTAAACAACTATATACATATAAGTAATACACGTAAGCTACATAAAAAAACATATAAGCTTTATACAGTTATAAATAATTGTAATATTATAAATTTAGTTTTTATAATATCTGATTTATATAAGTTATATAAAATATTATTTTTACTAAGTAAACAAAACTCTTATATAACTGTTATAAACACTATCAAACTAACTAATAATAAATTTATATATTATTTAACTAAATTTACAATAAGTAACTGTTTAAACACAAAATGGATAAAAGGATTTATAACTAACACTACAATTATTCCTAATATTACTGTAGTTAATTTATTTATAAATAAGCTTTATAAAACTGATAGTAGCTATATTAATAGTGCTAGAATTAAATATTTAAAAAAAAAATATAATTTTGTTAAATATTTAAAAAGTTTAAATATATCAGAGTTTATATTTTTTTTAACTTTAGACAATAATACTGCAGCCCTTAATGAGTGCTTAATGAAAAATAAGTTTATAATGGGTGTTTGTGATTTAAATTTTAATACCAATTTAACAGATTTAAGTATATGTGGTAATAATTTAAATCATAAATCTTTAAATTTTTTTTTAAAATTTATAACTATACCAGCTATAAAAGGAAGTATTAAATACAAATAAATAAAAATTTAATAAGTTTAACTTTTATTATTTTGAGTTTATAGTTTAAAGTTTAAAACAAAAATTTTCTAAATTTTTAATATAAGTTAAAGTCTTATTGAACTCAACTATTTAAAATATAAATTAACTTTATAGTATAGGTGTGTTTTGACAGCTTTGTTAAAACAATTTAGTATAAATTCAATTTTTAATGCACTAGTATAAGGATAAAATAACAATATTTTTAAATCCTAAAACTTATACATATATATATATAATATTTTTAAAAATTTTATTGTTTATAATTAATAATAAAATGTATAAAATTTAAAATATAAATTAACTTTATAGTATAGGTGTGTTTTGACAACTTTGTTAAAACAATTTAGTATAAATTCAATTTTTAATACACTAGTATAAGGATAAAATAACAATATTTTTAAATCCTAAAACTTATACATATATATATATATATATAATATTTTTAAAAATTTTATTGTTTATAATTAATAATAAAATGTATAAAATTTAAAATATAAATTAACTTTATAGTATAGGTGTGTTTTGACAACTTTATTAAAACAATTTAGTATAAATTCAATTTTTAATACACTAATATAAGGATAAAATAACAATATTTTTAAATCCTAAAACTTATACATATATATATATATAATATTTTTAAAAATTTTATTGTTTATAATTAATAATAAAATGTATAAAATTTAAAATATAAATTAACTTTATAGTATAGGTGTGTTTTGACAACTTTGTTAAAACAATTTAGTATAAATTCAATTTTTAATACACTAGTATAAGGATAAAATAACAATATTTTTAAATCCTAAAACTTATACATATATATATATAATATTTTTAAAAATTTTATTGTTTATAATTAATAATAAAATGTATAAAATTTAAAATATAAATTAACTTTATAGTATAGGTGTGTTTTGACAACTTTGTTAAAACAATTTAGTATAAATTCAATTTTTAATACACTAATATAAGGATAAAATAACAATATTTTTAAATCCTAAAACTTATACATATATATATATAATATTTTTAAAAATTTTATTGTTTATAATTAATAATAAAATGTATAAAATTTAAAATATAAATTAACTTTATAGTATAGGTGTGTTTTGACAACTTTGTTAAAACAATTTAGTATAAATTCAATTTTTAATACACTAGTATAAGGATAAAATAACAATATTTTTAAATCCTAAAACTTATACATATATATATATATAATATTTTTAAAAATTTTATTGTTTATAATTAATAATAAAATGTATAAAATTTAAAATATAAATTAACTTTATAGTTATAAGGATAAAATAACAATATTTTTAAATCCTAAAACTTATACATATATATATATAATATTTTTAAAAATTTTATTGTTTATAATTAATAATAAAATGTATAAAATTTAAAATATAAATTAACTTTATAGTATAGGTGTGTTTTGACAACTTTGTTAAAACAATTTAGTATAAATTCAATTTTTAATACACTAATATAAGGATAAAATAACAATATTTTTAAATCCTAAAACTTATACATATATATATATAATATTTTTAAAAATTTTATTGTTTATAATTAATAATAAAATGTATAAAATTTAAAATATAAATTAACTTTATAGTATAGGTGTGTTTTGACAACTTTGTTAAAACAATTTAGTATAAATTCAATTTTTAATACACTAGTATAAGGATAAAATAACAATATTTTTAAATCCTAAAACTTATACATATATATATATATAATATTTTTAAAAATTTTATTGTTTATAATTAATAATAAAATGTATAAAATTTAAAATATAAATTAACTTTATAGTGTAGATGTGTTTTGATAACTTTGTTTAAAACAATTTAGTATAAATTCAATTTTTAATACAGTAGTATAAGAGTAAAATAATAATATTTTTAAATCCTAAAACTTATACGTAACGTAAATTAATACGTATAGTGTTATTTATAAAAAACAAAATGGAGTAAAAGAATAACTCATTGGTTTCATTGTCCAAAGTTGAAGGTTTAAGCCCTTTTTTTGTTGATTAAAATTATAAAAATATTTTTTAGTCAAAATAGCTCAATTTAGGCTAGAGTGTTGGTTTGAAGGACCAAAGGTAGTCAGTTCGAATCTGATTTTTGACATTTATAAAATAAATATGGCGAAATAGGTAGACGCGCTAAATTTAGGATTTAGTTTATATAAGAGTTCGAGTCTCTTTATTTATAAAATATTATTATATAGATAATTAATTTAATGATAAAATATTTAATTTACACTTAAAAAACAATGGTTTAACTCCATTATTATCTAATATTTTAAGGGAATATAATTTAATGTTAAAATTTTATTTTTGCAAAATAAATATAGTGGTTAAATTCCACTTATTTCCACACTTTATCTAGTAAAAAGACTTTTAGCTTAAAGGTAAAGTATACATATGATAAATGTAAGATTTTGGTTCAATTCCAAAATAGTCTAAAATTAAAAATAATAAGATCTGTAACTTAAAAGTAAAAGTATATAATTACGAATTATAGTATAAAGGTTAAAATCCTTTCAGATCTTTAAATAAAAGCCTATATAGGAATAAATAACTATAATAATATTAAAAATATTAATTAAAAAATTAAGAATAAAAATTATTTATATAAGTTAGATCCTAGCTTAGAATGAACGCTTAAGACGTACTTTAACACATGTTAATTAAATTTAAAATATTACAAAAACTACCCGTAATATTGCTTAAATTAGTGAAGAGGTGAGTATACAATAGAAGTAAAATTATAAATTGAGTATAATTATAAG